GCCCTGGCCTGTCACCCAGGGGGCTACTGCCGGCTTTGAATGAGCTTGCTCAAATAACTGACTCGACAGATCTTTGGTAGCAACACAAATGTATCAAATGTATCAACAGAGATACATAGGTTGAGTGGAGCCCAAGGTGAGAACCGGGGCCTAAACGAAAGGGAACAAAGGGAACGAGGCTGACAGTGCGTAACCCTTACCATACAGGATTTTAGAAAGTGCACAGAATGCTTAAACCTCTCAGGTGAGGGGAGCACTGCTAGGCTTGACCAAATAGGGGCAACTAATCAGGGAGGCAGCAAGCGGCCAAACTAGCCTAGGAGCACTACGTGACTGTGGCACGCTCACAGATCAGAATCCGAAGCATCTGCTCACAGATGCCCAGAAGGGAGCGGCGCGCTTGCAAGAGGCATGGTGAGAGGAGCATAGCTAGCTCACTTAACAAGCAACCCACCAGGGAGGCAGGAGATGACCCAGCCACCTGGCATGACTGCTATCCGGAGCTTAAAAGAGCGGAGGCCCAACTTCAAAAATAGAAGGGGGACTCGGAAGCTCAGATCGAGAGGGGCGTGCTCATATGAAACCCCCAGGGGCACTGCTAAGCTTGACCCACAAGGTGAGTAGCTCAACAGGGAGGCGGAGAGAGGCCTAACAACCTGAGGCTGCTATTCAATGGAGCTCAAACGAGCGGAGGACTCGATGAGAGAAGTCCACAGATGCTCAATCGGGAGCAGCAGGCTCAAAGACAACCTCCCGAGGTGAGGGGAGCACTGCCTGCCTTGACCCAAATAGAGGTAGCTTAACAGGGGAGCAGCAAGTGGCCCAACTACCTGATGTCACTGCCACGGAGCTCAAGAGCGGAGGGTTCAACTCCTAGCAAGGAGAGAGAGGAACCCAGCTCGACCGAAGCGATCAATAGCCCAGGGTCAGAGAACCTAACTCTCAAGTCGAGAGGAGGACTCACCCAGTCTGCCCAGGACCGGCGAGCTCAAAGGGACCCTCCCGCAATGAGGGGAGCACAGCCATGTCCGGCAGCAGATAAATTGCAAATGAGACATCAGAAATGGGATCCTGATAGAAGGGGTTCACACATTTCTACAGGGAACAATAGGGTCCCAAAAAAAAGGCAACTGACCAAGGAGGTGACAGAGATGGGCCTAACACTCAGTTCGTTGCAAATGGGGTTTTTCGGGAGCAGCGCTCTCGGCTCTCAAGTTGAGGCGGGCCCTTACAGCACATACTGGGAGCGACTCATAGCTAACCTTCACAGTGAGGGGAGCACTTCTCAGCTTGACCAGAAGGCGGTGCTAGATTGGAAGGGCCAACCAAGCAGGGCCCAATAAGAGACAGTCCACTGGTGCAGCTGGACACGGTCTCATGCTATCTATCTCGATAGAGAGCGTGGGTCCCGTACACCAGACCTGATAGAATCTGAAGAAATAGCAGGACCCAATAACCATTCATGCGTACAGAGCTTACTGCTCCTCAGAGCAGAAGCATACAAGAGGGGTTTCCGCATAAACACAAGTCCCTCGTACCTCAGGGAACACAGTGTACTCAAGCCCACTCCGCAGAGGGGCGATTACTGGTTCAACCATAAGGGCAGTGTGAAAGGGAGGACCCGCGGACCTGACCGTCTATGGAGTGTTGAGTTCCTCAACGCCTCAGCGAGAGTAGCTTTAGCTCAGAGAACGTGCATGATGGTTAAGGAAAGACTCAAATCTCAGGAGACCCCTCAGGGTGAGAGATGAGTAGCGCACCCTGGCCAGAGGATAGGGAGCATGTCAC